ATTTTTTTCACGACGCCCCCTAAAGTTGTTCCATTTCGTGAGAAAAAAAATTGTGTAAAAGCTGAGCTCGATCGGATAACGGAAAGATGGCGGAATCCTGTTAAAGTTGAAACAAATATTTTTTTTCACAAAAAATCCGGTGAAAAGAATTCTAAATAAAGATTAAATGATTTTCTTAGTAAATGTTGACCAACGATACTATTTTTGTTAAATAAATATAGTATATTTAAATCGTATTTACAAAATATATTGTATACATATATACTTTTTTTTATTTAATTATTGCATTCAGGTTTGTGCATATCCGCAACTATTGTATGTAATAATGTCTATATATATGTATATATATATATGTATATATATATATATATTGTGACGCCGCGGTCCGCTGCAGCGGAGCAGCGTCCCGCCGCCGTCACAAGGCGCGGGTTCGCGCCCCTTTTCTGCCGGACCGCGTCGTGAGAGCGAGACCGAGATCTCCGGGAGGCCCGAATTTAAAAGCGTGCTTTGTATTAATTTTCGTTGAACCTCTTCTATGTATCGCGGCACCTCACCGGACCAACGGAGCGTCAGCGGAGAGGATCCAAGGCCATCGACAGCGGAAGGGAGTTGGAGTACGGGCAACCTGGCGCCGGAGCAAAGGGGACACGCACCGGGCACGCGGCGAGCAGGTGACGGAGCGCGCATACGCAGAGCGCGTGACCGCGCGCAGGGATATCAGAGCCGCCAGGGGCGCGACCGGGAAGGCGAGCGCGGTGGCTGAGGCCCGCGAAGGGCGATACGGCCGGCGATTTCCCCAGGGCCCGTGGCCATCGCCGAGAGCTGCCGGGGCGATATAGCCAACTCGTCCCGGAATTCAAGGGCGAAGGACGCGTCCACCTAATGCCACGCTGCCACATCCCGAATATAGGGCGACCTCGCGCGGGCGCGAGACGCCCGCATGCAGAATCACCTGATTGCGCCCGTGCCACGGCAGGACCCCCACGACGCCGTGATTGGTCGCGGCCGACTGCGCCGCTGTGTTGCGCACCCCCGGGCTGGGGGTGCAGGCATCGATCGCGAATTGAACGCGATCTACGCGGCTTTTGCGTGCGAACCGAGGGAGCGTTTGGTCGATCCGGCGTGTGAGTGAGCGACAGAGAGCGACCGAGAGCGAAAGAGAGAAAGAGCGAGAGAGGACGTCGGCGAGACCGAGAAGAACGAGCAGCTGTCGGACCTGCTACCCAGGAGGCTGAGACGGAGATCGTGCCGGTGAGGTGACCCTCTTTATCGCGTGTAAAGCCACGGGCTGATCGAAGATCTTGCTCGCACTCTGCGGACGTGAACGCCATTTTAGTGTCAGAGTTTCGTCGCGTGCGCCCCTTTGGCGACGCGCATCTTGTAGTTGCTCTTTGGTTTGGCGTACCGGCGTCCGTCCTCAAATGCGAGGATTCTCATCGAATCTGCCGTGAGCGATCGGGAGTGTCGTGAGTCGCGTATCGAGCCACCCGGAGATCGTCGTCGCGAGTTCGTCGCAAAGCCCTCGCGCCTGAGCGCGCGAGCGTTAGGGTAAGTGTGTGAGTACGCGGAATCACGAGTGTCGTGCGCAGACTTGCCAGTTTTGATACGAGAGTCTCTCCGGGCATTTTCGGCTAATAGACGAAGATAACATAGCAGCCCGACTCTCTCGCACTCGGTAACGCTCAGCTTGGCCGGCGTCACGCTTGCTCGGCCGGCATCGGGCGGCTTCGGGCCACCTCGACTACTCGGCTCGTCGCTCGCCGCCTTATTTCAAACAAAGATATAGGTTAAAGCGTATGAACGATGTAGCTGACCCGCTCGATGATTTCGATAATGTAATAATTTTTATGTCGAGACAATCACGCATTACTACAACATTAAACGTAATAATTGTCAACAATGTTTATTATAAATAATATATTAAAGAAAT